AAGTTAATAGCAATAGCTGGAGGTAGTGGCATCATCAGGTCTCGTTAACTTTGATGAAGATTATCCCGAAACACCCCTATTTCTCGCCAACGAGCTTTGTTTGTCCATCTATCAATGAGCCGTAGTCACCGATATGCGATGATATATACATACATATGTATTAATGGTGCATACGGTAATCAATGCATCTCTGGTATTCACTCCGAGCTACACACGTGTACGTAGTGTGAAGCGAATAAACGTGTTTATACAATCGGGGAAAGAGCTTTTTCCTCGATTAAATTTATTTTACACGTGCAATATATACCATTGATAGAGATAAAATGTGCAACGGCAAACTTTTTTAAAACAATTGTATGAAATTTAAGCGAAAGGCCTGTGTGGCACGGCTAAAAAAAAGTAACAGAAACAAAAAAAGCATGTCCATCTGCTGCAACGCATCGCGCTGCAACAGCCAAATAATTAAAAGGCAGGCACCGTGTGCTGCTACGTTTCGCGTACTGTGTGTTACCTCGTGCGTCTCGTGCCGCGTGGAATGTTGCTTTTTTGTAGTTGTGAAACTTGTACGTTTCTGGCCCACGCGTAGCACGAAAGACGCGTGGAGGAAAAAAAAAAAAAAAAAGAGGAAACAAGAGCAATGTGGAAGTATGACGTGCTTTTTGCCATTGACGTTTTTTTTTTGCTCCCTATCGCGAGTTGCAAACTCGACTCCGGTGCGCGTGTTTCGCATTTCTCTGGCCCACGGATCTCTCGGAGCGAGAAATTAATTTATTAACTGGATGGGGAGATGACTGATTATGCGGCGTTATTTAATACGGATTAGTGGAAAAGGAAACAAAAACTCGGGAAGTTATGACTGAAACAGCGCAGGGAGCGCGAGATAATTAAAGCGTGAGAAATGGCTTTTGGAAACCATGTAGAGTTTAGACGGAAATCGCTCAAATACTCGGCTGAAAATCTTTTAGAAAATCGTGTCACGTCAGATCTAGTACTTACTAGTGGAACAGAAATTTTATCATTCTACTTACTCAAAAACGAGCAAAAAAAGCACAAAAGCTGCAGTGTGGAGCTCTTGGCTATTCCATATTGATAAACACCTTTTTCCCGAGGAGTGTCCTTCGGTATACGTCAACTCAACGTGCACACACATGGGCGTATTAGGAAAGTCGGGAGAAAATGCGGCCGTGATTGATGGAACCAAAACAAGCAGTTGAGTAGTGCTTTTTCTCGCACGTACACTCTGTTCATCGGCTCCATCCTACTTCCCTTCCTTCTTCAGCCTTAGCATTTTCGGAAGCCTCGCGTATATGGGCCGCTACTTCACCTCCTTTCCAGCCGCCCTTACACTGTTCTTTTTGCTCCCACCGTACAGGCTTCGCTCTAGGCGGTACAGACCCTGGCCTCGCTCGGATGATTTATTTTGCCCCCGTTTTTTCCACCCCTCGATATCAGTGATTCTCTTGGAAGAGAACTTTTTTTTTTTTTACTCACTGATGGACAAGTATATACCACCTCTTGCTCAGCCTGGCTATTGGAATTGCATATTATTTATCATGCAACGATGGGCTCGTCTTACCTGTACCGCGTTAATGGACAAATCGTATTTCCCCGATGAAAGCCTTCGCAAGAGAAAACACGAGCAGTCCTCTTGATCCGGTTGTTATAAATACGTCGCTCGCCCAAAGATAATAAACAGGATACTTGTGCGCAACCCTTATCGGTAAAAATAATATTTTCAATAAATCAAGACGTCACTAGGCTTTCCCTGGAGCTTCCGACAAAGCTTCCAAAGAGGGGCTGGTTCGTATCCTTTTCCTCTAAAAATCCACGTACACGGGAAACACGTGTGTATTACGTACACCCAGGAAAGCCCCGCCTCGGGCGTTTCATGCCACTTTGGAACTCGACCGCGGACGTCCGGAAAACCTTCACCCTCTTTTCTTCTTGGTCAGGTTTACGACTTACGTCATCCTCGTCTTTGTGGTTTCGGCTAATATTCTACGAGCTACTGCACCAGTACGAGCTTATTTAATTACGACACCTAAAGTTTCGTACGACAAAATCTTGGTGAGATTCCATTTGACTCTGTGTCTATTTTGTCACAACTTGTGTAATCATCTGTTTGTCTCGGAGACACATTAAATTGTTTTTTGTCCAATCCACATGTACGAAGTTTCAATCCTCCGGTTCACTAATTTTTATCATCTTTGGGTGAAAAAGAAAATGAAATAGCAGGTGACGTTGAAAGTTTTTTTTTTTTTGTTTTGTTTTTTTTTCCAGAATAGCAATTTCCACGGAGTTTTTCGATGCTCTCGGCGTCGATGTAAAGTGCAAGTGAGTTGCAAAAGTGTCTGCACTCGAGTGCTCGAGGGGCTCGAGCAGATAGACAAAGTTTTATAAATTTTATTGGTTTGGAATTGGAAGCAATCGAAAGGCGCAAAATCGCGCGAAGGATAATTAAACTTTACCGAGAGTCAGAGGGGGATGCGATCGCGTGTCTTTGAGAGCGCGATAAAAATTTTAAAAATTCACAGCCAATCAGTTCGGGCGACACCCACTGTACTACCCCTGGATAGTTAAGGAAATTATTATGCAAAATTAAATGCAGCAGAACTTTTACACTCTTGCATCATCGGTCGCGGCATATTGCACACTCATCGATGTCAGTAGGAAGAGAGCAATCACGCGCCGGATTGTTAATTAGGTCAGCTGAGCAGTAAAATCGTTGGATAATTATGTGGCGCGGGAGGTGCAATTTAATGCTCAACCACTCAGTGGATCCAAGCGTTGTGAATCCGAGCAGTGGGTGACCACGCAACACGCCGGAGAAGACGGAGGAGGTAAAAAAAAAGGCGTCGTTTTGTGCGATGGCATTTAACTTGGCCACTCGCTTGCTTTGCGTTTCCTTGTTTTTTCCCCTTTTTCCTCTAACAAGCACTTCAGAGCCTGGAGCTTAAACGCCCGAGTGTTAATTAACGGCGGGGCTGGGGGAGAATGAGAAACAAAGAAAGACAAACGGAGTTTCAAAAGGAAACAGGGACGGGAGTGGAACGCGTGAAAAAGAAAGTGCCAGGACTTAAAAGGAATGAGGAAAAAAAATAGAGATTTCAGGAAAAATATTTAAGTGTGTGATACATGGATAAGAATTTAATGATAGTGGTTAGTTTTCATTTTGTTTACAACTTTTTTTTTAATATTAGTTAGCTGAAAGTATTAATTAACTGAAATTCAAGAACAGAAAACTAAAAAAGATATTTGTTTATAAATACATTAAAATTTTTTTTAACTAATTTTATAAATTCTTGAATGGATCGCATACAAGTATATTCAAAAGTTATTGCTTAGGTATTAATAATTTCACTAATTTAGTAGTTTGTTCACTTTTACTTTTAAACTCTTCAAGTTCCTTTATTTTGATGGACTTGCTACATTTGGGAGTACTATTTAACTACTTTTATAATATTAGAATTAATATGAAACAGAGAAGTTCCTTCTACATAAGTTTATTTTATTTATTCTTATATTCATTTTCATGCCAGTTTTTAAGTTTATAGGTAAAATTCATTGCAACAGTTGAGCTTAAACGACCGATATCACATTTTTAGTTATCTATAGCCTGTTTAGGTAAAATAGTACACAAAATTAATTAAAATTACATTCGAAAAATCCATCTACAACAAATATTGCCTGTCGAATTTTGAAATCAGTACATTATAGAGATATATTATATAAAATACGTAAAAAAAGTTTTTCCACGTATAAATTTTTTTACAATGTTATTACTATTGTCATTATTTACAATTTTGTTTGAAAACAATTATTATTTATGACGAAAATTTGATGAAAGTTAAATCAAAATACGTAATTTAATGTATGAATTTATGAAAGAATCACATTTTCAAATACTTGAAAAATGACTGGGCCATGAATCAATTGTTAAGAACGAAAAGTAAAAAAACAGTTTTTTTTTACAAATATCAGCTGATATAAAATAACCTTGTATCCTCATGTTACAGACAAACAGATAAGATAAAAAACGTTGACTAAAAGTCAATGATGGGTAGTTTAAAACATCAATGTAAAGATCAATGATACATGCAAATTAAGATACGTGTCGACATACTGGTGAAATAATGTGGGTTTTTCCATTTGAGAAAAATAATATTGACGCAACTAACACAAGTGTGAACTATTTCAAACAAATTCAATATTTGCACTCTCTGCTTTCTTCAGTCAGAGTAATTTTTAATTTCCGTTCAGTTTAAAAAGTATTCATGGTAGCACTTATAAGATATCCTTGGCATGCTAATTATATTTGTAATAATAAATTAAAATGGAACCAATTACTACGTACATATGTCGAACTTGCGTCAGTAGAACATCTGTACTTGTGGATTATAAGACTAACTTTTTTTACAGCAGTTATTTAGTTATTTAGTAGAAGAATCCAACAGAAAGTAACCAAAATAATGTACAATCATCTACGTACCGTTCTGACAACTTTTCTAGTAATACTAATTGGAAATGGTATGTTTGTATGACACGTATTTTTAGTTTTATCAAAACAATTGGAACGTAAATTAGAGGTAATTTAAATTTTCACATTTGCGGTATGACTAATACATATTTACTAAAATAAAATAGAAGTAGTTATACTTATGAAAGACGTAACTTTTTTTACAAATCTGTTACGGTTTGCCTAAATTGTTACTCAATTTTTTGCATGATTTTTTATTTTTCAGTTTTTTTACTTTAAGAGCATAATATAACATCATAATGTTTGAACTCATAAAAATATGATTATTGTTAGTATTTTTTATTTTCTACTGTTTGGTATAGTAACAAGCGATTGAGCCTAGTACTTTTGACATTTACAGTTAGGAACGGATGTTTCATTACTGAACATATTAAATTTATAAGATTCATTTGATTCATCATAATAATGTTCAAATAGCAGTTTCTTGACAGTCGTCTAGAAAGTTAATTATTATTTTGACGAGATGGATTTTGAGCTTAGTTGTGAGTCATTCATTATTATCACATACTGCGACTAATTTTATGACAGAGAATTAGTAGAACTTTGTAAAATATGGTTATGTTGATGAAAAATTAATAAATTTTTGCATATTTTTCAGTGGCTGGTTTAGAATCAGAAAATATAATTCGCGGTCGTGTAGCTCACATACCTGGAAAACAATATGTCATTTCCTTACATAATGTCAAGATCCATCTGTGTGGTGGTACACTTATTCGTCCTGACGTAGTTTTGACTGCGGCTCATTGTTTTTACGAGGGTGAAAGTATCAAGTTCATAAATCAACCGTACTATGTTGACGCAGGAACAACAAATTTTAAAACCGTATCAGATAAAGCTTCCACAATACGCGTGGCCCAAGTTTACATTCACAAAAACTTTAAACGGATTTTGCCTGAAGTAATACTTTTGAATGACATTGCAGTTTTAAAAGTAAAAATAAAAAAAAAAGAAACTAAAATTCATACAACTTAAGCATATCTCTTTATAAAAGAAATGATAATTTACTTTTTTTAGCTTGAAAAAAAATTTAACGTGGAAAACTCTACAGTAATTGGTACGGCAGTCTTGTCAAAACAAGTTGACTTTCAAAATGAATTTGCACTTGTACTTGGTTACGGTGCTGATGAAATTCATGTAATTAATGGGAAAATACATCGAAAAAGTTCTGGAACGTTGAGACAAGAAATGGTGAAAATCGTTGACTCGAAAAAGTGTGGCGCAGAGAGATATACGGGTATATTGTGTGCAAAAATGAAACAGTCCTCTCCAAGGAGATCAGAATACCGTGGTGTTTGTCACGTATGTAATTTAACTAATTATTTTAATTAAAGATTTAAGAGCAAATTAAGAGTTGGCTGACTCAAACATTCAATCAAATAAATAATTGAGATCATAAAATCTACGTAATTCGTATATTGCCGCAATTTACACTACGTGAGTGAATTTATACACTAAGCCATCCAATTCTTTGAAGCAAAAAAAATTTACATACCCTCATTCCGTTAAATATTTTCTTTTAATTAAAAAATGTAAGCTTATTAAAAATAATATTTTATTAAATAAAAACTTTTTTTTAAATACGAATTTCTTATTTAATTGTATAAAATGTTTTTTTGGATCTACTACATTTTTTTTAATTAAAAGAAAATATTTAATGGAATAAAGGTAAAGAAATTTTCTTTGGTTCAAAGAACTGAGTTGTTCAGTGTAGTACGTGAGTAAAGACTAATATTAAGATAATTATATCAGTCTGGCAATGTCATCGAAGTATTAGAGCATATTTTTACAATACTTTATAGTTTTCTGATTAACAAATACTCATGGAATACTCATTTTTAGGGTGATAGTGGTGGTCCTCTGATGCTTGGAGGTAAGATTATTGGAATTGCGAGTACTGCGCCAAATGAAATGTGCGATGAAACAACAAATCCAGCAACGTACACCAAAGTCTCACATTATTTGAAATTTATTCAAGATGCTATAAACGAAAAGATTACTAAAGATATTTTGTTTATAGACCTTCTTCGAGCAAAGGATTAGGAAAATCATTTGTATTAAAATTTAAATTATATTAGGATGAAAATTTAATAGTGCGTGAAAAATTATAGGTGCAATGTATACTTACATAAAAATTGCGTGAAGAGTTTTTACACAATAATTTATATTCTTTAGTATAAAATTACCTTTCAGTTATAGTTAGTCTGGATATTATTGACATTGGAAATGCTTTAATAAGATGAGTTCAAACTGTTAACGTAGAAAAAATCTAATTAAATTTATATTGGTGTAATAATCAGTCACAGTGAAGGCAGATTTTGTTCACCCATCCAAAACACAGCTTTGACGTTACTAGAAGTATAACTAAAATCGTAAAATCTTCAATACAAAACTTATGTTTTTACGATAGAAAAAAAGTCAACTGCAGTACTTAATTGATGGATCTACATCAATTTGTTTTAGAAAATTTTTTTCTCTCTACATATTTTTTTACTGTTAAAAGGAAGGCGGCGTTTAGTTGCAAACACGTCAACTTAACGAGTTCCTCATTTCGGCAATTAAAAAATATCTTGATTGACATAAAAAATTAAAATAAAGACGTATGGCTTATCGTGTACAAGCTCTTTGGAACTCTGACAGAGTAAACACAAACCTCGTCACACACGAAGTTTTAACAGATTAAAATGTGTCTAGTAGTATGGCGAAAAGATAATTAATAAAATGCAAGCGCAAAAGGTTAACTAAGCGTTCCATAGAGATGAGTTAACGAAGAAGGGAAAGAGACAAACGCTAAAGTTATATTCGCTACTAAAAAGATATTATGAATGTGGTATGACAATTAAAAGGAGAGGAGGGAGTGAAGGTACAAGTTAAGTTCAATTCTCGTATACATTGGATGGCGAATTGAGCAGAGCAATGTAGAAATGCGGGATCTTGAGCTTTGCTACTGCTACTATTATTGTCCTGCAACTAATGTTGATGTAATTTAATTCAGTAGTACAAGAACAGCAGGGTTTTAAGAAAAGTACAAAAAAATTCAAAACTTCAAAGAAAATGTTGAATTTGTTGAGTCTGACGTGATACTGACTCATACTACTGATTTTGAAAATCATTACTGGCTTCGGATGATTAATTATTTACGAATGCATTCAATGGAACAATATGTGTATGTATTCGTATATTATCTTGATAGGAATCAATGAACTAGAACAATCGATAAAGCTAACATGAATGTAATATTCAATTTTAAGCTAATCAGTAACGTATGATTCTATTGTATTTAAAGAAAAATCCATAAATTAATTAAACTAAATTAAATGGTTTATAATTTTCACCTCCTGTTCTGTTAATACTATAATATCAATATACGATAAAGTATATTGTATTATGTAATCAACGCTGATTGAGTAAAAATTATTTTTGCAAGGCAACTTTCTATAAAGACAAAAATGAAAATTCTCTCAGAGCTAAATTTTTAGACCAAAAACAATTTCCAACGAGTAAACGTACATCTAATCTTCTATAACCTCCTGTAGATATGGGGAAAAAAGGAAGATTTTCCGTAGTTTCAAAAACCATAATTTCGACGAAACAGCCCCGAAAACTCGGACACCTCACAGCAATCCACCACTGCTGCATCCTCCTTCTCGTTTTTCTCCCTTTGTAATAAACGCAAGCGCAGCGCGCAACTGCACACAGAACGTGTGGATGTACGTGTATACACACAGTCCAGGCGCGAGAGATGAAAGAGGAGAGGGCGAGCTGGGGAAACGAAGGGTGGCACAGCCGTCCTCGAAGCACTGGAATGAATGCAGGGTGGTGGGGGTCTTGTAGGGGGTAACGACTCCGTCGAGAAGAGGGAGGGGGGGTGAGGAAGAGCAGGCCGGAGCACCACACGAAGAAGTTTAGTAAACCTCCGGCTTTCGTGCAACAACGATCGCCTGCTCGCTCGTTCATACGTATGAACAGCTCTCGATAAACGACTGAGCACGTGACCGTAAACATTTTTTTTCTTCGATTGTTGTACAGGTTATGTTTATTTATTTTTTTTTTTGTTAAATGACAAGACTGTGTGTATCTTTGGGGTACGATAATATAGGGAAATTGTGATTTAGTGTGTCTCTTTCGGAGCTGAGAAGCTTGTGATGTTGTTGGAGGAAACCAAAAACAAAATGACAGGATGAAACATTGGTAAGCTGTGCTTTAAGAGAAGCTTGGTTTGCTTGTGAAAGGCTGTGCTGCTTGCGGCTAATAAAATTAACACTGAAAACATTACTTACAAAGAATTTCACTAAACAAACGAATAATATTTTCTCATCCTTTTGCACGTGAATTTTTCCAATATAACAATTTGGGCAATGAAACAATAATTTGCACAAAATGAAATTTCAAACTTTTATGTAAAGGGTAATACGCAAAAATGAATTTTAATATCTCAACTCAATGATTCTGGGCATCAGAACATTGTAGCAATGCTTCAAAGTTCACAGTTGAAAGAATTTTTTAATACTGTGCTCTCGACAAAAAAAAGAAAGGGTCAATTTTATCTGTCGGCTTTTACATTCGGTATTGCAAATAGTAATAAAAGCATCCTTGGTAGAGATTTTTTGTGACTGGAAAATTTCAATAGAAAAGCTTTTTAATTAAAAGCATATGTGAGATGGAATTTCAATAAAAGCTAAAGCGTTATTTTCCAGTGAAATCAAAAGGCAGAAAAATCGTGGCTAAAAATATTGATTTTTGTACGCGTGTACTACTTTAATTAATAAACTTGTGGAGTTAAAGTTTAAATGTTTATTCAAAAATTTCTCCGAAAAAATGAAAATAAATAAAAGCTTGTAGCCGTGTATCAAGCAAAAAATAAATCTATATTTCAATCAACGAAATAGCATATTTATCTACCTCATCGGAGCGTTTAATTACATAACAAGATCATATTCATATATTCATCAAATATACATGCAAAAATATTAACCTGAAAACGTAGATCAACACCTCATCAAAAATATTTCAACCACAAAACTGAAAAGGCTATAAAATGTAATATTACAATGGATTTTCTTAAACAAAAATTCGTAACAGTTGGGCGTCGCAACAAAAACACTATTCGGATCTGTTGCATTGGACTAGCCAAATCTAATGTATTTCATTGCCAAGGTTCCCAAGACACCCACAAGTCGACTCTCTTGTTTGCTTCTTTTAACTCTCGTTGATACTCGCTTCTCGGTTTTCTGGTAATTAAAAGTTGAAATCGACCAACCACTTTTTATTCTCTTGGCTCGAACTTATTCGCTTGGCAGAAGTGATTGCATTCTTCGGATTGTCCGACTTTTAATCGTATTGTGTTCGCAAAAGTAACAAGCCACAAACTTTTTTTTTCTCATACCTGATTCTTTACAGTAGTTTCTCTGATTGTATTGGAAAATGTACCTCCGCATCCATTTAAAAGCTTTGCACAGCAAACATTACCGGGAGTTCATTTCATCACAAACAATTTTCATTTTTGCATCACATTGGTAGTAATCCAAAGTCTGACCTATACATACATTAATTTATACGAAAAACTAACGAAATTCTCTTCTGAACACTGGAATACAAATGAATTTGTCGCAACTCACTTAAAAAAAAAGTGCCTCGCATTATTATCACATCCAGTAAAATTTCATCTTGCATCTATGAATTCGTCAAAAAGCTTTTTAATTCAGAAGAAGAAAAAGAAAAAAAAAAGAACGCGCCAGCGCGTCAGAGACAGCATTAATATCGTGAAGAAATTATTTCCCGAGTCCGTCAAAGTCGTCACGTGATACGCGATTCGTAATTTCAGCGCAGTCTCTTGTTACTACAACTCGCGAAAGTGGCATTTTTACTCGTGCAGTGCTGCGTGCGATAAGGGAACGGAAAAAAGAAAAAATATATACGGTGGAGGTGAGCGAAATACCTGCATGAAAAAGGTCAGTGTTCAATGGATGGGAAAAGGGGGTGGTGTTTGCGGAGAGTTTACCGGTCGAAAAGCGAATGCGTCTGCGTGTAAACAATACGGAGCGCGTAGAACGACGTATGTATGGGCACAGGAAGGAGAAGGGACAAAAAAGGGTTTGCATATAACTCTTTTTCCCTCTCGCTCTCTAACTCTGGTAGAGTAAGACCGTAGCAACGGCCACGGCTGTGTGCGGACGATTAATGGATTTTTAGTTGAATGTTCGCGTATGTACGCGTGTATGTACGTCCGTAGAGGAGAAAAAAGTGCACGGCACTCGAGGGAATTAATTCCGATTGCCACTATCGTTTGCGCGAGCACCTGGATAAAGGAGGAATCTCAAGGCGGGATTTGCAGGGAAAATTGCGAGGTGACTTTTTTTTTGCCTCACCCTCGTGCTTCTATTTTTTTCCTCGTCGCGGCTCTTCTCGTTGCTGCCCTTTGCTCTTTTTATTATAGTTTGTTTGGCTTGTTTGCGAGTACACTCGACGACGAGATTCCTCGGGGATGCTGTGGATGATTTTTTTCCCTTTCGCCTCCAACCTGTCTTGACAGCCACTGCTCTGTTGCTACTGATGCTCGTTGAAAATAATAATTCAAAATTCATTCAAATCTGATTATTCGACGTCAACTTTTTATTTTTTTTTATTCAAGCTTTAATCAGGGTACAGTGCACGGAGGTGCTAAGTATTTTAATTATTATTTATGCACCAAAACATACAATCGTTTTAATTGAGTGTCCGGATTATTGCCAAATATTATCAATTAAATGTTTAACTCATCCTACGGATTTCCAGATCAAATGATATTGAATGATCGGTTGATACTTTTATGCTTTGTTAAACAATATTTAATCTAACTACAATACTCTTCCACGTTTATTACAAGACGTTTTATTTCCTTGTTAAAATATATAATGCTGTACTACTGCAAGTTAATATTCTTGAAATATTGTTGAAATCATTTAACATTTAAAAATATTTTACATTTTGATTAAAAACACAACTGAACTTATATTTCCAGAAAACCTGCCATGAAAGAAAAACCTAAAATTCTAAACGACTATTTAGTAATACAAAAAATTTTCACCAAAACCTTCCACATGGAATAAAAAAGGTAGTTGAAAAAAAAAAACAAAAAAAAAATATGACAAGCCACACCATGAGTTCGAAAAAACGCCAACGAACTTTGAGCGAAACTTTGATGGCTCATCCTGTCTTTTACCAACTACCTCCATTGAACGCTTGCAAAAAAGAGTTGTCCAAAACAAAAACGGGGCTTGTCACTTAAAAAAAAAAAAAAGGTTACTAAAACGGGATCCACCGTCCGCGAAACCGACGAGAGAGACAAAGGCCACTGGACGTCACGTCCGAAGTTTTGCGAGATCGCATCCACCCAGTTTTCAAAAAGCTCGACTTGCAGCAGTAGTCTTTTTTTTTTGACAGCCGTACATGCGGCTTCAACTCGTTGGCAGCTTTTTTGTTCAATTTTCGGCAAGTCGCGTGCTTTGACGCGTGGCAGGCAAAGAAAGTCCCGCAAAGAACATGAAGGTGGCCGGAAATATATTTACATCCTTTTTTTTTCTTTCTCCTTTGGTCAAATAAGTTAGTGTCGCTACTGCCAAACCACATTTGCGGTGGCTCGATTTTGAATTCTCGGGCACGTAAGGGTAATTTACGAGCTCGTTTTATTTGCCCGAGTCCATAACCTTGTGCGATGGAATTTATGAAAGAAAAGTGTCAGACACGGATTCTGACTTGTTTTTCGGTTTTAAAGCTGGAAGCGTGGCAAGAGCCGAGAGGTAAAAAGAGGTCGTCGCGACTCGAGGAACGATAAATCGATAAATCAAGCAAGCAGCAGTTGGACCGGATCCCTCGGAAGGGAGTTCCGTGGGTATGTCGCGAATGCACATTTTTACGAGATTTTTACGGGCCACTTCTGTCTCTTTTTATTTCCTTCGCTCACACGCTTCGGCTGGCACTCATATGTTTTGTGGAACCCGGAACATATTCGCCCACACGGCAATCATTTACTACATTCGTTTTTCTATCCACGACTACCGATGCATCTTGTTCGCAACGCGTTCGTCCGTACGTGATTTTTTTTTTTTTTTTTTTTCTCCTACCGTTACTTAATATTTTTTTGTTTGATAGAAGCGATAAATGAACAGCTGTGTATCGCAGTCAAGGGAGAACCATAAAATTTGTGACCTCATGTTTTATGGGTTTTCGTTAAGGAAAGACTGGTGCACTGCATAAATATAAAACGGCTCGTGAAAGTTGAGCTTTACACCGACAACACATGTACCCACTTTTTATTATTGACACAGTGAAATACGTATGTCGACTGATCATTCCAATGCACTTAAGTTGTAGTCGAATGTACTGCACTACAAAAAATGTCTGATATACCTAAAAACTTTAAAAAATTCTAAAAGTAAAAGCTTAACTAATAACAAAAGTTTCATTAATCATGCATTAAAAAAAAAAAAAAACAAATGTTGTTACAAAATCCCCCTATCTTGGCACAACAAACAAAAACACAAATTCTCATGAAAACTTCTCTCACGTACACAACAATCGTGCGTAGACATGTACACACAAGGCCCGACACTTATAATCCAAAGGTAAGCAGCAGCAGCCCACGCGATAAGCCAGAGGGCTAGGACATAGCGAGTTATCGAGTCTGGCGGCGTCGCAGCGCACGCGAGAGGCAAGCGCAACGCATGAATACGTACACACCCCCCTAAGAGAGCCCTCTCGTATGCGTACGTGCTGCCAGCACGATACTCTGTCCTATGTGTGTGTATGGGAAAAGGTCATGGCCCGAATTCTCCAGGAAATTACCGGTCATTGCAGGGTACGGACGACGGGGATGCCACTGGCCACTGTGTCCAACTACTCAACGCCCGAGGACTCATCTTTCAAGTGTCGCCGTTGTTGTAGCTGGACGTGATGGGACTTCTCACCCATGACTTTACCGTGGGACTCTCATCAGAGCTCCTGCCACCGCCATCACTTCCTTCTTTTTTTTTCACCGACCTTTCCTTCCATTCTCGCACCCTACCTGTTTTCCTGTGTTCGTTAAAAATGTTGACGAAGAGAAGCATAACAATGACGACGACGACGACGACGTGCTCTAAACTCCGAGTGGAACAATACCGGTGAACGCGGTGTCCCCGAGAAAATCACCCTCGAAGATAAAATTTGGTACTCATCTTGAACGGTATGTGCTGCTCGGGCGATGGATCCGGCGGCAGCCGCTCGGCACGGTGCGCCCTGCTCTGCGGCCTTGCTGCTCTGGCTGCCATCGGGGTCACGATATTCAGCACCGCCTGGATACAGACCGAGGAGAGGATAACCTCCCTGCCACGCAATGTAAGCAGCCTGGTCAGCATCAAATTCAAAATTGGATTCTGGCACGCCTGCTCGAGCATCAACAAGCCTGTTGCCCTTCAGTACAGTGAGTATGCGTTTTTTTCTACGTTGTTATTTTTATTGTTATTGTCAATCATTATTGCAATTGAATTTTCACATTTTTTTTTATTTTTGTTGAACAGTATTAATTTTTAATGATATTTTATACTTACAAAACGAGAGTTGTGAGGTTTAAGTAGTAATGACCGATTATAGTCAGACATCGCATTTCACGTAATATAGTATGATAAATTGTGTACTCAGTAGAATTTTCGTAAAACGCTTTCGTTAAATTTGACATAAATTAAGTTTAATTATAAAACAACCATAAATTATATTAGGTTACGTTCTGGAAAATTAAAATTAATACAGACTATTTAAAAAAAAAAATGTTAAGGTTTGTGTTACATTTTTCAATAGTATTATGAACGATGTTTACATAAAAATTCAGACAAATATTATTGAATAATATGGTTTTTACATTAAATCGATTTTATGTATAAATCCGAGAGTAGTGACGTGTAAGTAGTAATACTCGATTTTAGTTAGACATGACATTTTACGCTATGTTACAATATTATAAATGTTGTATCGTCATTAAAAGTTCTAAATAGAAATTGAATGATAAAACAGTTAAGAGATATATTATGAAATTAAATGATAAAATGGTTTAGAGACGTCTTATGTTCGATTTCCAAAAATTGAAAAAACTACATTGGAAACAAAATGTAAAAGTTTTTATTTGGACTTGTTACAACGGTTATTACCTTTGACTTCAACGGTCATCCACTTTATTAGATTGAATTTCAAGTTATAACTTTTGCTTTTATGTATGGATACGAGAATCGTACGGTTTGAGTAGTAATGGCCGATTATAGTCAGACACAGTATTTTATGCCATACAATATTATAAATGTTGCATCGTTATTGCAATTCTTGAAAAATACTTGTATGTACTCTAATTTTGATTGAATTGAATATGTAACGAATTTTCAGGTGTATTATAAATGTACAAAAAACTTACCTATACTTTTTTAAGAAAACGTTTATATTTTTGCTCTGATAGCTTGGAGTAGTAACATTTACTATTACTATAAGTATTTTTAAATTAATTTTATTGCATTTTTTAATTATATTTAAATACACAACTGCAAAAGTAGTAACGTACAAGTAGTAACAATCGATTATAATCAGGCATATAATTTCATGCTGCGTATAGTACGACAAAAGTTGTGTCGTTATTGAAATTTTCATGATAAAGTTTCACACAATAATACAGACTAAACTGAACGATAATACTACGTTAAGTTGTCTTTTGCTATCTTACAAAAAGTGTACATAATTTTTTTTTTTTTTCAACTAAAACCTTAGATTTTTTTGCACTCGTTGATATTATTACTTGTCATACCTGTAATTTTTTTTTTAGATATTTGTTTGACTTTTATATAATGATACTTATATTAAATCCCATTGTATACACAAATGCGGAATTAATGAGGTAATAAGTAATAGTGAATCAATATAGTCTGACATACCATTAAGCGCATTATAAGCAGCGCATTGAGTCGTGTCTGACATTCGTGTAATATGAATACCTAAAATTTCATAAAGATTGAATTAAATAGTAATGAAAGTGACACTAAATTTTTAACTCAGGTTGGTTCTCAAAAATGTTGGTAATAAACTTTTTTATCATCACCGTGGGGAAAGGTCTATTTCAACAAATCTCACACCATATTCTTTTTATTTAATAATACGATAACATTGTCGTTGTACCATCGGCAGTTATGAATATTTATTCGTTATAATTAAACATGTCTTATTCTTAGAACTGTATAAATTTTTGGTTTCAATCACTGATCATACCATGCAATGATTGAATAAATAGACGAACATAGGTCAATGCCAGTCATAGTACTGGCAACAAGATGGTAAAAGAAACAAGTACAATATGGAAATTTAATTCAAAAACAAAAAATCAACGCAAACACAAAAAGCAGCAACAACAAGAAGAGGCTGAAAAAAATAGGCAAGGGAAGAGGACAGCACGAGAAGTAAAAGAAACACAGTTATCATCCCCTCGTTTCCCTTGCGTTTTCTTTACCCTCTACTGCATAACGGCGATAGTAGTATAGTAGAAGCAGTACCCAACAGCCCGGCGATGACAATTCCTTTTTATGTCTCGCTGTCGACGTCGGCGTCACCATCAACGATGTTCCTCTTACGCTCATCTCTTGTACTCGAAAAGGAAAGGATAGCCACCCCTTCGTTCTTTATCTCTCTCTTTTTTCTCCTTTCATTTTCGCTTTTATTTTCCGCTTACAACTACATCATGTAATCTCTCGTTTCGCCAACTTAAACGATCTCTCTATGTTTTTCTATCGTTGACTGCATAAGAAAATTTCAGCTTCGGGCAGGCTGTAACAGGCTGTCCTTTTTTACCTCCCTTTCCATGCCTTCCTTTCTCAAAAACACTGCTCTGTGTTTTTTGGGTCAGAGCTTCATGCTGACCTCGTTGCTACTTCAATCTGTTTCAATACACATCGTTTTTTGATTCTGTGAGCTTTAAAAGCTTGAAAATACCGCAAAGGACATTGTTTATTGTTTCTGGTTGATAAAAGAGTTTCATTTTGATATCATAAGAATGGAGTCATTGTTTTCTCAAGGGTTGAATGTTCATCAATTTTTGTAATGCAAACAAAACTACAAGAGTTTTTTTTCGATCAGATCAAAAATTCCTTTTTAAAATAAAATTAAACGAAAAGTTTTAAACACTTAATAAAAACTTTAATATTCGACGTCTTGAAAATTTTCAAAATTCATTCCACGAGTTGAAATCAACGTCCGCAAAAGATTGTGTGATTGAAGGGAAAAAAAAATTCTAGGAAAGGGTTTCTCGAAAGCTTTTCAAAGAGCTTTCCTTAGTTGGAGAAAAAAGCGGCGTCCGCTTCTGTGTCGAGGTCTTTCAACTCGAAATTAAAAATTTCCCTGCTAATGTATTTCTTAACTATCCCGAATCCATGGAAACTTTGAAACAAAGTTTTTGAAATTGTTATCAAGTCGATTTTCAGTATTAAAAATTTATTAAAATCATTAGGTCAACGCCATTTCTCAAGAATTTCATCAAGCCATCTCTTTAGAATTTTATTATGTGATAATTTTTTACTGCAAACGATAAAATAAAATAATCACACGTATTGGCAAAGAAAAAATGAAAAAAAAGATGGATGCCCGCATGAAGGACATCCACTGGTGTCCAAGAAATAGTGAAACTACGGAGACACGAGGCTAGGGCAGGCCGCAAAGTTATACGCGTCTTACACTGTTCTCGGATTTCTCGAGGGTATATATTCCTCCCTCTCTTTTTCATAAAAGGAGAAGAAGAAATTCCTACTCGAGAAAAGTAAAAACAGAAGAGGAGAACAAGAAGAGGGTATCTAGTATTCCTATGGTCGCGCACGCTATGCGTCTCTTTTGTTTTCTCCTCTTTCCCTTCTTTACTACGAGAACGAAAATCTCTCGGTACTTTTTTCTTGGAGGTCTCCTTCTAGCTTTTTTCTTGCAAAGGTGAGTAGAGACCAAGGGGTAGCAGCTGTGTCCTCCGGAATCTCGAGAATATTGAGACCTGGAATCCGGTAAATGTTTTGGACGAGAAAAAATACGAGACAAAGTAAAGGTTGGAAAAGACAAATTCGAGGCTAGCTTTTGAATTTGATTGCGGTTCAGGGTGCAAAACTTTCATTACCTCGACCACCACTGTTTTATATATACATTCTATAGAAAAATAAAACATGGATAACATAGTAAAAATACGTGTGCAATTGTTACCAGGACACATCAAGCTTTTAATGCCAATCAATTTGACGACGAGAGAGACAAACTAACCAACTAACAAGCCAGCAGAAGAGAGGGAGAGAGAGAGTACAAGATGGCCAAAGCAAGATAACGAGGCTTTTATTATCGGTGCCATTAGAGCGTCAGGGACCGCTACATGGAGCTCAATTGAGAAATCTACTGGATGTAGTTGGGAAGGTAAAATCGATGACAGTGCCTTGGGGAGCCGAGGGAAAGAGAGACTCTGGCTGAGAGAGTTGAGAAGGAACGAAATTCCCTTAGCTCCTGTGCTGGTGACTCGTCTCCTATACTTGTACGGCAGGAACCAGAGACAGAATACAGGGAAGGAAGAGAGAGAGGAAAGATGTCTAAAGGGGGAGATGGAAGTGACTAATGACTGTGGCATCAAATAGAGCGATGCGACCAGGCTGCTCTCCTTCATCGTTTTATTTATATTGCCGAATACGCGCGCACGTGCGTCTCTCTGGCTTCGTTGAGGTTGTGATATATCAAAAAGGAGCTATATGGACGATCGACGGGACAACATTGTAAAACAATTGACTAATAGCACGGACAGAGGGGTAGAGCTTTCATTGCTGGGTGTATTTTTTTTCTTGGCTTTCAATGTTACGTGTGTTTGTTTTTTGTTTTCTATCAAACTGGATACAATGCCGTAAATGAAGCGTTTCCACAAGACAAATTTGTCTATTTAAACAAAGGGGCAATGTATTTTTGATTTCACAAGTTACGAGAACTTCACGAAGGCAAGGTGAATATACTTCATTGATTAATGTAATCTTTTTTCCCCCAGAGTATTGGGAAGGAATATTCCCAACTGATTCTTTGATTAATACTGTCGAGTTGGATTTTTCCTCTTTTTTGTTAGGTACCAATCAATTTACAGGTCTGAAAGGTTAAAACTTTCCAATCATCGGAAATCCTTCCACGGAGGAGAAAAAAAAGTGCTGAATAGGTTCGTTAGAACATTCCTCCTTTCATTTCCCTTCCTTCCACTGTCTCGTGATCTCATCTTTTTTTCGTCCAGCATACAATTTCATCCTTACCACCACAAGGAAGAACCACATCTCGTTGAAAATTCCTTTCTTTGCTTGCTCCCTGCTAAAGAGCCTTGTACACCGTTGAGCCAAAGTTCGCTTACGTCCGAGCTCGCCCTTTTTGCGCCGCCTATCTCTCACAGCGCGATAAGTCGCG